ATCCTGTGCGTATTGCCTCGGTATTGCCTTCATTCACAAACATTATAAGTAAAGATGGATGGTGGTTAGTAGTGGAATCTAAGATGATTGTTTACTCGTATTTCGAATTCGTGACCCTAGATACATTTGCATTTCATAGTTGATGTGTATCACGGAACTCGAACTTAATGAGAAGATTCAAACAACCAATACAAATTGCATTGATTTCATATAGTTTCTTTCCATAAACTTACTGAATTGTATTAATGAGTAAAATGTTTACAAAACGTAATTTTGTATGTAACATACAAAGTGGAATACAACAACGAATACTTTCCCAAACGTACACATGTTTAATTTATAAATGAATGGAATAAGCGAGTGATTAATAGAATTAAGCGTTTTTTTTGTTATCGAGTTATTTTTCTATGGGATGGGGTCTCTAACCTCATGTTCAACCCTCCTTTTCCAGGTGTGCGTCCAGCTCTAGTCACATAAGGTCTCCAGGCGAATTTCCAATATAAACTACTTAATCCTCGTTTATGGTTGTTAACTTATTATGGAAGGATTTTTCAGTCGGAAATTTCATAGATTACACTTCTTAGTGTTCATGGTTAAGCAACCACTTGAAAACTAGAAGTCGATGATGAATAGGTGTTTGTTCCCAGTTTGAGACTCCTTAGTGATCTGTGTTCATGACATCACGAGTGAATGTTGAAATCAGGAGCTTCGATCTTGATCGTAGTGGCGTAACATCTAGATCACTGAGGCAGTATTCACTTGTTTGTATGCTTAACTTTAAATAATTCGTAATGTTGTGAAACCATATTCCAATGTAGTTGATGGGCAACTGACTTACACTCAACATAGTTGGACGCCAGTGGTCAAGGTTTCCCACTAGAATTATGGAGTTGCCTCTCAAAGTTAATCACTAGAGAACACATGATTTATTGCCATGAGCATTTATAGGATTTATTTTAATTTCATAAATGGTATTGTGTTGCGTGCTACTTATTTTGACATAAGTAGTATATGATGTTAGTTGTGAACAGAAGGTCTGGAAGCAGAGAGACAAGACCATCGAACAGTAAAGAATGGAAACAGAATCCAAATTGTATGAAAATGCAAGAACAATGAAGTCTGAGTCAATTTGAGACAACTGATGGACAGTTTGCAAATTACGTATTTACTCTTTGATTGTTAGATTTTATTAATAAGTCCTGTAATTTTGTGCCAGATACATTTGATTGTTCCCACTGGTGTTCGTGTTCACTACACTTACATCTGTTACTCCCAGTAGGGAATAGACCGCCGACCAGTATTCTCCAAAGCACTCTATCCTAGACCTCCCTTTGTAGTCCTATACGATTGTTGTCCATTCTTTTCATGTCTATCTCCATTTCTCGGCGTAATGTGTTCTTTGTTCTTCTTCTTCTCCTATGACATTGCCTTGATGGTTCCAGGTGGGGGTTTCCCTTGTGACACAGTCCGGTGCTTACCTCAATGTGTGTCCTATTCACTTCCAGCGCTTCTTCCTGACCTCCTCCTCCTCTGAGATCTGGTTTGTCCTCTCCCAAATTAGGTTGTTACTGATAGTGCCTGGCCGACGGATGCGAAGTATTTTGACATTGGTTTTGGTTGACAGTTGTTTTGAGTTCCAGATGTTCTTCATTTATAGATATGCTGCTCTTGCTTTGTTGATTCGCGCCTTCACATCTTCATCAGGCTCCGGGTGGAGGTGTGTCACAAATATCTGTATTTTTGTTATATGTACACCGTTGTTCGGCTTCAATTTCTTTCTTATTCAATATCGAATCTGTTTTTCAATTTATTGGTGAAGAATTGTGTATGTCCCTTACAGTAATATAAAGTTTCCAACAGATCCTATTCGTTTTAAAATAATTCCAATGATTTATAATGAAAAATTATCTTAGCATGAACTCAACAGATTTCAAGTTACATCATTGAAGCCAGGTTAGTTCCCAATACTTACTTATGTCATCGGTACAGTTAGGTAAAACTATAGATAGAAATGCTAAAGTAATAGATACAGTCTTATCAATGATAGTAAAGTAGTATTAGGCTGTGAGAGAATGATTCAAGAAGAAAGAGCGAATAGTATATGAGTCCAATATCTGATAGATAGGCCAAGGCAGTGAACCCATTTACATCATTATGACTGATGATGAACCATGTCACCCGACATCTCTGATCATCGGTTACGATACTTCATGAATTAATAGTCTGAATTTATCGACATTTAATGACTTTATGGATTAATGCCACTTTATGATTTGGCCCCACCTAGTTTCCTTCTAAACTAACATTTAACCAGCAGATATCAGGTGTCGAGATTGGCGGTTGTTGAGTTTAAAGAATGATCAGTATACTTACAACATCCTATGAAGTTTAAAGCCAAATATCGACCTCTACAATAAGTAGATTGAAAAACTTATATAGGATGTTATATATATGAAATTCATTAGATAGTAAGGACTATAAGAAGTAACATTGCGGTGTATACTACTGATATCGACAGATATAAGTAGTATGTATCATCAGTCGAAAATGAAGTGCCCAGCAGTAGAAGGTTAAGATGAAAGAAAAGTAAATGAGGAATTAGAATGATTGCTGCGGAAACGAAAGAACAATGAAGTCTAAGACAATCGATGAATATTTTGCAAATGAAGAATTTATTTTATAGTTCTCAGATTTTGTTGATACATTCTACAATTTTGTATTCGAATACATCTGGGTGTTCTTGATTACTACAACATGATTTGATTATCTTATTTATGTGATCTCAAATTCTGTTAAAGATTAGTCAGTCAGTCATTCGGCTACAACGTGGGACCAGGCACATACATGCATCGGTCAAGGTTGCCATACCGCATTAGCCTAAGATGAGCATCGAATTCATAGAAGTAGTTACTTCAATGGTGGTAATATATAAAAGGATAATTGCATATAAGGATACAGTACAGGAAGAAAGAATGAGTTGGTAGAAAGAAAGATATAAAGCGATTTTAATCTCATAGTTTAAAGGAAGACAGAGAGTGTATACACCGACACCATTGTGATCGACTCTGAGTCATGTCACACACAGTCTAAAACCATTGGTTACGATAGCCACACGGACCCCAACCAAGTAGTCTGCATCTACCAACATGGCTCAGACTAGAATTAAGTGACCTTATGGACTGATGCCACGTTTTGGTTTCTTCCAAACATCTCCAACACTAGTCGGCATTGCGCGTCGTGATAATCGGTGTTCAGGCATACGTAACACGTGACCTAACCATTTCAGTCGTTAAAGATTCACAACGTCACCAACTGATTTACCATTATTCCTTAATACTCTGCGTCGAACCTCACTATTACTTACCCGATGATTCTAGCAGACGAGAGCAATATTTCTAAGGCATCTGTTGTCAAACACCAGTATCTATAATCAGATTAGCTAATTTTGAAATTTAATATGAGGATAATGTTTTCCTTTCTTTTTTTTTAATTAAAGAAGTTTATTCCAGCAAAACTACAAAGTATGTACAAACCAATCAGAATTAAAGATGACGAGTCTTGGATTTTGACATTGAACTAATGAAACATTTTGAGAATTAGTTCAACTTACAATTTAACAAAATATATTCAGTTTACATTATTTAAACTAATGGATTCAATGACAAATAAAAAAGAAATTGGATGAAATAGACTGTAATAAATGTGATTGAAATACAATATCGGATCATTCGGTTACATTTTACATTTATATTCACACTATAATTAAATTCATGAGTTGATTAAAGCTCGATCATCATGGAAAACCTAGAAGCATTGGACGGCAAGATCGTGGATGCTCACTGCTGAGAAGTTCCATACTAGGAAGAAACGGCCATCTAATCAATCTAAGTTTTCAATGATGGTCATGTTTGGATCGACTCATGAATTCAACTTTTAAATTACTAAAATCGTCACAAAAACCCCCTTCTGATAATAATCATCATGTGCCCACTTGTGACTGTCTTCAAGAAGTATTCTCTGCAGTTCTAGTAAGAAACTGTGACTAGTGGAGTTCAACTAAAAGTTCTGTTGTGATATAATAACTCACTGAAGACAATAATATATTCACATTAATCAATGATCAAACGTTACAATACACTCCTATAATAATACATTTAAGTTAGTTGATAATCTTCAAATACTAATAAAAACTAAATCTATGAACCAATAAAAAGGAGTATAATCAAATCTAAGGTTTGTGAAATGACCAATCACATTATTTGTGCAAATATTAGATAGTATAATTAAACAAAAATAACCAATCAGATTGTGTGTGCGTCAATAAAACAATGTTGTTCGGATAGATAGTTAGTCTATAGTACTTCTCATACTACTCGAATCTAACCTTTTAGTTTTATATTTTCACGAAGAACCATTGTCAACTAATGAATTATTAGCAATGAATTCATTCAGTAACTTACTGGTTCATGTTAGTTATTTGTTTATTATTCATCGTATTATACATACTAGGCAGAATTACAATAAGGAAGTGAATATGAATACATACATAAATATAATGTTGAAATTAACCTAGCTCCGAAATGCTCTGGTTCAACCGAGGTTGAGGAATGTTAGCTCTCTACTGTCAGAGAAGTCATACTCACTGCCTTCTCACGACATTATTGTTGTTTACGGAATTAAGAGGATGAAAAGTGAATGTCCAGAGCTTCAAACGAGTTGGTGGATATAGATGATCCACCTAGGGGGATTGGAAAGGATCATCAGGAAACAAATGGCGTATGAACCAATTATTGGTCACCGGCTACCATAGGATTGCATCTTCTTACGTTGTTCCACTGGTTTGGAGATCAGACCCTTATGTCAAAGGCTCCAAGTGTTAAACTTCTTAAGACATTATTTAGATAAATCAATAAATAACCTAGTAACATAGGACAACATTGTCTTTAACATGAAAGGTTATACTATTTTATCAAACAATTTCAAAATGTACAGTTACTTACCAATTTCTTCCAAAGATTTTTATTTCTTTTAATGATGTAATATTTTTATCCAAAGAATTCACAAGCAACAACGACAACTACTACAAAAGATGATTGTTAACTGCACACACACATATATAAACAAAAAAATAAATAAATAAACAAATAATCGATATGTTTATGTTTATTTTCACGCACACACACACACAAATTGATCGCCAATAATGAATAATCAACGAAAAGTAATGTTCATTAATCAATTTTTTTGTTTGATTGGTTACGGGATTATAATGTTTTATTAATTATGTAATGAAATGTTAAATGAACTTTTGTAAGTTTAATGTAGTCTGTATAGTTATATTATTGAATGATGAGTATAGTATAGTACGGTTAGTATGGTATATATAGTATGGTGTAGTACAGTGTGGTATAGTACAGTATGGAATGGTTAGTATAGTATGGTATAGTATAGTGTAGTATCTAAACCTTGTTGACAAATTGACAAAAAGAATAAATAAATAAAATCACATATGTATTAGTAAAATATAATTTTATCTTCTATACTGACCCACTCTATGAATTGAATCAGTCACCAAAAAAAAAAAGATTTCTTTTTCCTTATTTTCTTTTGATTAAGAATTAGATTTAACCAACTGGATTTAGTTAATTTTAATATCATTCACATAGAATATTATTGGTCTTATATAAGCATATCTAATATAAAAGTTAGACATATATATGTATATACTTATGCACATTATTTGTATCTGTGCTCATTCAACTGTAATACACCCCTTCTCCAGCTAATCGTTGGGAAACGGAGATAATATAATAACAGTAATCATAAAAATTATTATTATTACACATAGTATGGATATTGAGTAAATGACAGACTGTATTATTCGCTAAGGGTTAGTTTATGTTGGTTAGACCATGAGTGAGTACAAACACATATACACCATATATTTAGTTCCCTATATGTTTGTATATATATATATATATATCCGCCTAAGTGTGTTACTATGACATCATGATATACATATGATTTCAATATTTATGTCTTAATAATCTATAAATTGACTATACAAGATGAACATCTTGATGAATGATTGTTTTTCTTCCTTTATTCATCTTGAATAAAGTTTGATTTTATTCGAGATGAATACTACTACTAACATTATTAGTAGTACTAGTCTTCTGTTTATTCAACTAAAGAAGTAGAATAGTTTACATTGAATGAGAACAACGTACATACAATATACAACAAACAAATATACAAAACATAGAGTAGGGATAACTTATGTATATAGGTGATTGTATGTTGTTGTTTTGCTTTTGTAATAAAAAATTATATTAGTTATGAAATAGACAGATAAAACATTGGAAATGAAAATAAAAACAAATTATGTAATCATTTCAATGACTAACATGAATAGAATAACAGCATAAAAACAATAATAAGATTTACAATTGATTGATCACTAGGTGAGAATCAATTTTATGTATTACAGGTCCTTCTTAGTGTAGATTGAGTACTATCGAACACATTTTGTAATGTGGTCAGCAGTCTAAGTGACTCGAGGTTGTATGCACTATGTTGAGATAAGGTGGTGGTTAGAGATATTTAACAGGAAACACTGGACCTACGTTTTTTGCTGCTTGACACTCAACAGCAAGGTGTACCTGTTTTCATGAGGGATTTGATGCTCTCGGATGGATTCAGTCCAGTGCCACCTAACTTCACAGTCAGAGATGTTATCACTGATCTATCCAGGCCAGTACTGATCTCTTATAGGACTGAGATGTATTTACAATTAAATTGATCACTAGATGGTGATAAATGTCGTGTATGTCAGGTCCTTCTTAGTACAGATCGAGTCCTATTGAACAAGTTGCAATGTGGTCATCAGTCTAAGAGACTGGAACTATGTTGAGATAAGATGATGGTTGGAAGTAGTCAACAGATTTACTAATAATACCATCTGTGTTAATTTCCATTTGGACGATTTCACTTGATTAATTCTTGGGAAATGTTGATTTTTGTGCAACAAAACCTCAGAATCGGCATAGATGTACTTACATTTGGATGTAAAATAAGCGATTGATTATCACCATCCTGGAATGTAGATGTAATACATAGTTGACAAAAAATGAAACTGTATTTTATGTGTAAAGATGGGTGGTAGCTAGCAGTGGAATCCAGGATACTTGTTTCATCCTATTTAGGACTCTTCAACTGGATCAACAGGCATCCCAGAATTGATGTTCACTCCGGCACTTAAGGCAATATCAAGGTAATTCGAACAAGATGCACATATTGCCAATAACAAACTGATCAATTGCATTCCTAAACATCAGTGAGGAGATACAAACAAACAATTAAAAATGTATTTTATGGTTTAAACTAAGAACTGACTATACTTAGATAATTATTGAAGACTGGGAAACACTGAATAACTCTAGACCAAAAGACTGTCTAGAGCTTATTACTTTTTAATGGTTGTCTAATTTAAAGCTAATTCGTAATATTGAACCTTTAAATTTGTAGATGGTATAGAATGTCTCATGGATAAAGTGATTCAGGAGCGTTCCTGAAAGTGGGATCGACTAAAGAACTTTCGAAAAATAGTAGATATGCGGACAATATTTTCAATCTAATCTAAACCAGTTCAACACCGTTTACGAAAAAGTCAAAATGGAAAGGGTTGAAAATCTTTTTTATCTCATGATGAGTATGATGATTTCAGACTAACAAGACGGGTATAATAAGCTAATTTTGATCTCAATCAAAAATTTAATAATTACAATATGCTCACTAGTGATTAGCTTCATGAGGGAATTCTCAATTCTATTGAGAAGCCGTGACCAGTGGAGCTAATCCATATCAAGTAGAGACAGGTATCTACCTCAGTACAATGGAAAATGATCGCGCAATTTCGTGGATTAGGTGAGATTAAACATTAACACCACTGGATGCTGGCTCAGTGGTCTAGAGGTTTAGCGATCGTGAGCGAGACTGATAGACCCTGGGTTCGAATCTCGCGGGACGAGATCATGGACGCTCCCTGGTCAAGAGTCACACAATAGGACGAAACGGTCGTCCAGTGCTTCCAGGTTTCAAATGGTGGTCTAACATCAATCGGTTCGTGATCTCAAGCAAAAACTTAGTAATCTCTACATCCCTATACTGATGATTTTGAATGGTAATAATAATAACGAAAATCATGATAGTAAACGGTTTCATTTAAATTCGTAACGCTTTAAATTATTTTAAATGAGTAGTTGCCTAGACTTAGTCGCAAAATGGATTAAGGATTGAAGTGAAAATTACAGAGTTCAAGTCCTAAAATGAACATCAACTATGATGAAGGTACATCTAGCTTTGTCCCAAATATAATAGAACATACATCCTGGATTCAATTATTTGAAATTTCTATCTCCTTCAGATAGAGATTTGTATTTGACTGTATATTCAAAAGACAGAACAGTTGACACAAAGAAACCGAAATCCCACAAATGAACATGTCACTACTTAATATAAAATTACCAACTAAAGGTGTAATGAACGAGAAAACAAGTGGAGACTATCAAACATCTCTGAACACAAAATTACAGGATCTCTTAGTCAACTCTAAGAACCATACAGTAAATACTTCATCTGAAACATGTCAATCAATTGTCTCAGACTTTATTGTTCCTTTATTTCCACAGCAATCATTCACTGTTCTCATCCTCGTTTGTTTTGGTTTGTTTTTATTTTCTTAACATTCTGCCTCCAAACATTTCACATACTACTTATATCTGTCGACATCAGTAGCACATAACACAAAGGAAACCAGTGAACCACTACATTACTATAAAACTGATGAGCAAATGTTTTCCATTAGTTACAGACTAGTCAGTAATGTATCTGTAAGAAATTACAAAAGGTTACATATTACAGAAAAATACAAGTCCCCTTTAAGACTTTACATAAACTAGTTTCAACTGACGTATAACCTGAATTAACAGTGTAAGCGATGATGGATAGTAGCAAGCAGTAGAATCCAGTTTGACACGCATTTCGTCCTCCTCGGGACTCGTCAGCTGAATGTACCTGCACCTCAGAGTTGATGTTCACTCTGAGACTCGAACCCAGTACCATTCACTTCAAACGCCATCGCGTGACCCACTTAGCTACCGAGTCCTGATAGCCACTTGCTTGTGCAATGGGATGAAGTTTAAATTCACTTGGTATTATTTGGCTTGTATCTTCCCACTGAGCTGACGAGTTTCAAATAGGACGTAACGCGCGTCCTGGATTCCACTGATAGCCACTATCCATCATTGCTTATAAAAAGCTTGTGAATTAAGGCAAAATCGAGATATACGCACAGTATCCGCATATACCAATAACAGACTGATGAATTGAAGTCTTAAACCTCAATGGAAAGATACATGCCAAATAATACCAAGTGAATTTAAATTAACAGTGTCTCATCAGCTTTCTCCAATCATTTATTATGATATTCATGTTTCATTATGAGTATGATACCATTCATTCAATTAAAAATTTCCAACATTACTTTTTAAAGGTCATATTTACTGTTGAATTAACCTGGTATAACAATGACTTGTAATTATCAATGGCAAGGTTGGATGAACTTGATAGTTTCAAATAAATTGAGTATTGGTTGGAAAGTTATTTATTTACTCTGATAAAGTGGTTTATATTAGGTCACGAAACATCAGAAATACAATTTTTCCACTCATTAAGATATAATAAAATTATATTTCACTAGTTGAGAACATGAGTCCATTGAAGCTAGACCATCATAGGAAACCTGAAAACACTGGACGGTCGTTTCATCCTAGTATGAAACTTTTCAGCAATACTCATCCACGATCCCGCTTCGTGAGATTCGAACCTAGGACCTTTCAGTATCGTGCGTGAACCATTCGATTTCAGCTCGGTAGTCTATAGGTTAAGCCTTGGCACGCGAAAACGCAGGTCCATAATTCCAGTCTCGTTTGCAGGATCGTGTGTAAGCATTTGCAAAGAGTCCCATACTAGAACAAAACGGCCGCCCAGTGCTTCCAGGTTTTTAATGATGGTCTAGCCTAAATCGACTCATCAATTCAATTGTTAAAATCATAACTTTAATGTATAATCAGTAATTAAGTCGATTACTGTGTGTATATATTCCATTTATCATAAACTTTCGGTTGTTGTACAACTTATTACTCTTAAATTGTCAGTCGATTATCTACAGTCTCCTATATTCACATCCATTTTCGGCCTGTTCATGTATTGTTACTTTTTACTCTGTGGTGTTATGTGGATCGAGTATGTTGAAATATAAACCACTTCTGTTTGAAATAGAAATGTAATACAAGCTGGTTGTTGACTTTAGAACTCAAGAGCAAGACATAGAGAGAAGCTTTAGAATAGTAGACCAACATGGACTTGGCTATCAGCTCAAGGTCAATAGTGCTGATCAAATAGTACTGAACAAATCAGAGACAATAAGCCTCAGATTAGGAGTAGGATCCTGACTACTAACGTGATATTCGGTCTCGGAATAGACTGACTGGGCTTAAAA